TATAGTTCTGGGCCTAGAATCTACTAGAATAGGCTACAAGGATAGAGGGAGTTGAGTTCTTGGGTCCCACATCAGTGAGGTTGCTTGTTGGAATTGGAGATGACAGAGGTGATGAGGAGGATATGGGGTCTCCTAGGGACTTTCAAGGGTTGTGGTGGAAGTGACTGCAGGAAGTCATTTGCTTTTGCTCTTTTCATTCCCTGTTCTTTGTTACTGCTGAAGGGAGTGGAAGACAGAGAAGGAATCAGCTATGGGATTCTTACAGGTGTAATAAAATAGAGTTGTCTTCCCCTTTCCTTTGGCTTTGATATCTGTGACAGAGAGTGATGAGAATCTGAGGAAGGAGCAGTGGTTAGGTGGGGGCGTAATAGAGGCAGGAGAGTATTCCTGCCTGCAACCCTCCTCTTCCCCGACATACATTGTGACTGTTGTGAGAATTGGAAATCCTAAATATCTGCATGTTGGTAGCAGCAAGGAGGAATGAAAGAAGAGAGGGAAGGAAAATATTAGTGGGGGTGCGAGTGAGGGGAAGGAACATGTAAAGAACCAAAGCAATAAACCCAAATCCGTTGCCTTCTAGTTGATTCTAACTCATGATGACCCTATGTGTCACAGAGTAGATCTCAGCTTCATAGAGTTTTCTTGTCTGTTATCTTTATGAAAGCTGATTGCCAGGTCTTTCTTCTGCAGAGTTGCTGGGTGAGTACAAACCACCAACCTTCCAATTAATGCAAACCCTTTTTGCCACCCACACACCTATGTAAAGAACAGGTCTGTTTAAATCATAATTTGCCTGTAAAATAGAGGGCAAAAACCAAATTGTGGCCTCCGAAACCGCAGCCCAATTAAATAAATGACATTTTATTTTCCAAAAAGGTCTGTTTTAAAACTTAAATTATCAAAGCCAGATGTGGAGTTTTCTGTATGTAATGCTACTTGGTATGTGTCAACTTTATGATCTGCTAAATATAAGCAGGCATTGGAGAAACTTCAGCTTCTTTTGGTACAGGAACCTGGAGAAGGGGCCAGATTGCCCAAGACTACACTCATTTCTGGAACTCAGTTCCAACAATCTTCTCTCTTTTTTTTTTAATTGTTGTAGTTTAAGTGAAGTTTACATTTCAAGTTAGTCTCCCATACAGAAATTTATACATACATTGTTCTGTGACCCTAATTGCTCTCCCCATACTGTGACAGCACACTACTCTTTCCACCCGATTCCCCATGTCTGTTCAACCTGCTCCTAACCCTCTCTGCCTTCCCATCTCACCTCCGGACAGAAGCTGCCCCTGTAGTCTCTTGTATCTACTTGAGCTAAGAGGCACGCTTCTTACGAGTATCACTTTTGTCCCACAGTCCAGTCCAATCCCTGTCTGAAGAGTTAGCCTCGGAAATTATTTTAGTTCTAGGCTGATAGAAAATCCGGGGGCCATGCTTTCCAGGGTACCTCCAGTCTCAGTCAGACCATTAAGTCTGGTCTTCTTACTAAAATTTTGAGTTCTGCACTCCACCTTTCTCCTGCTCCATCAGGGACTCTCTGTTGTGTTCCCTGTCAGGACAGTCATTGGTGGTAGCTGGGCACCATCTAGTTCTTCTGGTCTCAGGCTGATGAAGTCTCTGGTTTATGTGGCTCTTTCTGTCTCTTGGGCTACTACTTTCCTCGTGTCATTGGTGTTCTTCATTCTCCTTTACTCTAGGTGGATGGGACCAACTGATGCATCTTTGATGGCTGGTTGCAAGCTTTTAAGACCCCAGACGCTACTCACCAAAGTAGGATACAGAACATTTTCTTAATAAACTTTGTTATGCCAATTGACCTAGGTGTCCCCTGAACAACAATCTTCTCTTTTACTCACTTCTCTCATCATTTCCCTCTCTTCAAGGTACACAGATATGTGGGAATTGGGTCTGGTAGTTCAGTGGTAGAATTCTTGCCTTCCATATAGGAGACCATGGTTTGATCCCTGGCCAATGCACCTCAAGTGCAACCATCGTCTGTCAGTGGAGGATTGTGTGTTGCTGTGATGCTCCCAGACTAAGACAGACTAGGAAGAAAGGACTGGTGATGTACTTCCAAAAATGAGCCAGTGAAAACCCTATGGATCACAACAGTCTGATTCCCTTGTACATGGAGTTGCCATGAGTTGGGGCACTAGACAGCACCAACAACACAGCCCCGCAAGAAATGTGAAGGTGATGGCTGTTGGAGCATTCAGGGAAGTGAGAGGAACTGGGTGGGTCCAAACAAGCCAGCCAGAATCCCTTCTTTGTACAATCAAGTGCCTGCCACCCCTCAGGCCTCAGGAAACTCTGGACTCCAAGCAAAAGCCATTGCTGTCGAGTTGATTCCGACTCATAGCGACAAGGGTAATTCCAATTTTGGATACAGCATAAGGTGGAAGAGACAATTGGAAAGTAAGAGTTCATTAGAATTGTCACCTATTATATCAAGAATCTGTGACTGGTAAACTCTGTTGATCCCTACTAAAATAAGTAAATAGGCCTCTCTCTATATATATGTATGTATGTGTATATATATATATATATATATATATTCTTCCACAAGTACAGTTTTAACTATGCTTTTAGAGCCAGATGTGATGGTTAAGGTTGTGTGTCAACTTGGCTGGGTCATGACTCTCAAGTGGTTTGGCAGTTTTGATGTAGTTTGACAGCTATGTAGTGATGTAATCATCTCCGTAACGAGATGTGATATAATGTAATCACCTCCACAATGAGATCTGCTATGAGCAACCAATCAGTTGAAAGGAAGTTTCCTTGGGGGTGTGGCCTGCATCCAATATAGGTGGACTTTCTGACAAAGCTCTCTGGCTTTTGCTTGCTCTGGATCCTCAGCTAGCTCCTGTTCATTTGACCTCTGGTTCTTGGGACCTGAGCTAGTGGCTTACCTGCTGATCCTGGGATTCACTGGCCTCTGCAGCCTGTGAGCCAGAGACCTGCTGTCTGACCTGCCAATCTTGGGTTTGCCAGCTCCTGCAGCTATGTGAGTCAGGAGAAGCCTCTAGTCAGACCCATGGACTTGGGATTTTCCAGACTCTAGAAACACATGAGCCATTTCCTTGATATTAATTTCTATATATATTTATATACTTCACTGGTTTTACTTCTCTAGAGAACCCAGCCTAAGATACCAGATAAGTACTGGTGGGAAAAAAAAAAGCAAAATAGTGGGTAAAGGCATCTTGAATAAAGATTTTACAAGTACATTTCTAGATTCCTAACATCATTTATTTTGCCCAAATTCTCTCTGAAGTCAAATCAAATATCTTATTAATAGGAGTAGAAAAAAAAAACAACACAGTAATGTTATTCACAAAGTTAACTAAAATGCATTGTTTGAAGCTGGGTATAGGAAATTAATCCAGTTCCTAATGGAAAGCCAGACTTTAATAATAAACATTTAAATTCTGCTCACATTTTCTTCAGGGTACATTACGTTGTGGGACAGTATTCCTCTGCCACACTGACACATGATCAAATTAGAAAGTAAAATATTTCCTTCTGGTAGCGCAGTGGTTAAGAGCTTGGCTGCAGTTCGAACGCACAGACGCTCCTTGGAAACTGTCTGGGGGCAGTTCTACTCTGTCCTATGGAGTTGAAATGAGTCAGAATAGACTGGACAGCAAAGGGTTTTGATTTGATTTTTTTCTTTGTTTAACTTTGGTAGCATAATCAGGAACAAGTAAAAGGGGAAATTCTAAAACAGCCAACTCAAATTTTTTTTTTTTTTTAAATTCTGAGCCAACTGTTATTTTTGGGGTGTGGGTGTGGGTAAGGTCTAAGGGAGATGGGTTGAAAGAGCCCTACTAATCCAAGGTCAAGCCAACAGTGCAGCTACAAAATTGAGGACAGGCAGGGTCCACTATGGTGAAGCAGAGGAGTAGGCTTAACTCAATTCAAGTCCCTTCCCTTGCAATAAAGAACGGGTAGGTGTTAGGTAAACGGCCTCTTTGGATAGGATGGAGGCTGGGGCGGATGAGGATGAAGATTTCTCTAGTTAGAGAGGAAATTTGGTGTTAAGAGGGCATCGCTGAAACCCAATAGTAACCACACAACTGGTGTTGTCCAGGGCAGGAATGTGGGAAGCAGGAAGCAGAAAGGCTCAAGCTCCTTTCCCTGGGTTGGCTGAGGAATTTACTTTCAGTAAATATTTATTGGGGCTTAATAAGAGTCAGGCACGGTGTAAAGCACCAGGATATAAAGCCGAGTGAAATGTGGTCTTGCCTTTGAGGGGTTCACAGTTCAGCAAAATGGCTTTAACATTTCTCGTAGGCTTTGATAACTTTTATCCTAGGCGTTATCAGGGGAATTTGTATCTAAATCCAACCAGACTTTTCTTCTAAGGATTTCAAAACAGAGAAAACGAGATATGGGACGGGGGTGGACGAGGGAGAGTTTCAGGGATTGGTGTCAGACTTAGGAGCCGCCAGACACCAGGCTGTGGTGGTGTTGCCTGCTGGCAAGAGACAATCAAGACCGTTCCCCGCATTGGCACCCTCTGGCTTGGCTCTGGAGCAGCGCGGCCGCGGCAGTTCCAGCAGCTGGCCAAGTCAGGCGACTGGCAGCCGGGAGCCTGGCAGGGGCCAAGCGCAGGTCCTGCCCCAGGCGAGGCTGAGAGCCTCGCGCTCACAGCCAAGGCTGAGAGTTCCTGGCTCGTGCCCCTGCCGGCTACCTAGGGCTCAGGCCCCACCACTCCCCGGCCGGTCCATGCCTTCTCTTTCCCAGTCCTTTCCACCAGCCGGGTCTCAGACGATATTCAGATTGCACCGCTCGCAACCACCCTCGGCTGCCCAGACACACCACGCACCCCCGGGCAGGAGCAGAGGCGCGGCGGGGGACCCGCGGCGGGAGACTAGGAGGGAAGAGGGAGGCGGTCCGCGCCCGGGTCGGGGGAGGGGGCTAGAGAGGGAGATTCGAGGGACGCTGCAGCCCCGCCCTCCGCCCCCTCCTCTCCTCCTCTTCAGAACTCGGATAGCCTGGGAGCATGGACCAAATCCCGCTGCGCTGGCACCATGACGCTCACCCGGTTCGTGGTGGCTCTGATTTTAGGGGTGATCCCCGAAGTGGTCAGCTTTAATCCGATCCTCAGTTACTCCCTCCGCCACCGCCACCGCCATCTGCCCCCTGCGGGTTCCGGGTATCCTTTTAACCTTCCCACTCATCCGCAGCCGCAGAGGACGCCTCCACCGCCCCTTTCCGGTGTCCCGCGCCCCTCGCGGGCGCTCCATGCCCAGCGCCTGCAAGCGGTCCATGCAGCGCGCACGCCCCAGCTGCACCTCGGGGGCTGCCCCGCCGGCGAGTCTTGGGTCAACGTGACGGACTTCGGCGCTTCATGTTTACGCTGGGCAGAGGTGCCATCCTTCCTGGAACGGTCGCCCCCGGCGAGCTGGGCTCAGCTGCGAGGGCAGCGCCACAACTTTTGTCGGAGCCCCGACGGCGCGGGCCGACCCTGGTGCTTCTATGGGAACGCCCACGGCAAGGCGGACTGGGGCTACTGCGACTGCAGACACGGTGAATGGCCTAGGGTAGCGGCGATAACTCGGGACTGGCGCGGCATAGATGTCTTGGGGCGGGCATAGATGTCTCTTGGAGAGAGAAACAGTGTGTAGGGTAGCGGGTGTGCATTGCGGGGTGAGGTGGTGGGCTACCACAAAGTACATTGGTAGCATAGTTAGAGTTACCAATGTATGTTTTGTATGTTCAGGTTGTCAGGGGTGACAGTTTCTATGTAAGGTGCTGCGCAAGTTCCTGTCTTCTGGCAATTCTGTGTTTGTGTTAGGGGTGTGTGTGTGTGTGTGTTGAGTGAATGTGTGTTCTCTAGATTTGCTTGCCTTGAGGGTGTTACAATATTTACATAAAAAAGGCAGAGGAAAGAAGATAGATAAAGTTGCTAATTACTTGTTTTGGAAAGGGAAATACTAAATTTAATATGACAACCAATAACCTCCTCCCCTCCCCGTAAATCTCCATTTGGAAAAATGTGGTAATTTTTTTGCCTATTTAATCCCATCATGGATCTGTTTGAAACAGTATGGCACGATTTGCATTTTTCTAGTTTTGTAAAATTAAATCTTTTAAGAGATCCTGGACCAAAATACAGCTTATCAGAATGATGTTCAGATTCTGGGGCACAATGTGGTAAATATCATCAGGGAGTTAAAGAAAGAAAAAGGGAAAGTAGGTGGAATAGTAACTATTTTAGTGTAGAAGCAACTTGATACCCTTAAATGCAGTTTTTCAGATTTCCATCATTCAGCTTTATATGTTACTTGTGGGAAATTGGGATTAGTTAGTAATATCAAGAGATAAAATTGGTAAGACACTTTAGTTTTGTGGCAATAAAAAGATGCACATTATAATAAATTTAATGTAAATGAAAAATCTGTCCTTTAACAGTGCCTCATTTTGAATTGTTTGGGGTTTTGTTTAATATTAGGGCTTTTTTTCCTTCTTTTATTTATAAACAGCTGGGGAAGAAAAACTTTATGTCCTTCAAAGTCTGAATTCCCCTTAACATTTTTTTGGCAGCTTTCCATCCAAGTAGGTCAGGCAGCGGCTTCATGAGTTGGGATCCTGAACCTTGTACTTTGTACCTTTCTGGAGGTTAGCTTTTCTGATGTCATTTTTCCTACAGAAATATTATTTATCTCTGCCTTCAATTGCATTAGTGCTTTAAGTTAAAGGAAAGTGATAGGAAGGTTAAGATCAATTATCCTTCATCCTAGAGAATGAAGTCATCACTATACTTATGTTTCAGGGACAGAATGCAAATGTGGCTATAAAAAATTTGAGACGATATTAAGCAAAGAGCCTAACATTGTCTTATTGTTTACTGTAAAAAATTATTTATAGTAAAATCTCAGATTTAGCAAACATTGACAATTTTTTTCTTTTCCTATTATCCTTTAATAAATGGTTAAGAGTGCAGAAATGGTATTAGGGAATAAATGTGTGGGAAAGAATACACAAGTTCCCTTTATATGTATATGTGTGTGTGTGTAAACACGTATAAAAAAAGAGAATAGAATCCAAAGTTAAAAAACTGCAATAATCTATTACTCTTTTTCTAATGCATTAACTCTTTCAGCTTTATATTCCAAATGAGGAGAGTGGCTTGTCCTTGGGTTTCTCAGCCCTCTCCCCCTTTTAGCTGAATATATTTAAATATTTAAATCTAACAGCCACTCAGACGCTTTATGACTAACTTTCTCTAGACAAAACCCCAAAGGCTGTATAATAGCTGTGTGTACTTGCTGAAGTGAAGTGATTGAACACAACAGAAACAAAAGAAATCACCCAAATGGGAAATAAATGCCTTCCCACCACAAAAAAAAAAAAGAAAGGAAAGCAATTGGCTATATAATAGTTGAATTACTTTCAGAGACTCAGTCCTGGTATGCAAACCTTCCCACTCTGCTGTTTACTCCTCAGGTGCTGGCTAGGCACAGTCCATACCTTGGAAAGGACAACTTTCTTGGCCCTACATTTCAGTTAGGTGTGTGAACTAGAAGCGTCCTTGAAAGGTGAAAAGAATATTCAACTGTGTTATTGTGTTTTAGAAAACATTGGTGTCAGTTTTGGCTCTGTCAGTGGCTATGCAATGTTGTGTAAGACTCTTTGCTCTTTGTTTTCCTCATCTGGAAGAAAGTGGTTTTTGAACAGATTAATTTTAAGCTCCAAGCATGTATACAAAATAACCTGATCTGATAATAACAGATAGGATTTATTGAGCATTCATTCTGTGCTGGATGATGGATCAAGCACTTTATGTTCATTTTCTCATTTCATTCTTGTAGCAAACTTATAAGATTACATCTAGGTGTTTAGGAGAAAATAGGATTAAATATGCACATTTTCACCTCACAGCTTATTTTGCTGTAGCTCTTTAGTTATATATCCATATAGAAATACCTGTGTTGTATAGTGATCCTCTTTTTGTAGATAAAGGATAGCCTAAAAGGAATAGAGAAGGGAATTATGTTTAACCCAATGCACAGGATTTCCAGTCTTTTATGACTTGAAAATCTCCAGTTGCTTTTTTTTTTCTTTTATGAAAAGTGACAAGGGCAAAACAAAAGAAGAATTTATAGTAACGAGATCTCTCCTTTAAAAAATAAACTGGTAGCTAGAATCAGGTATCCAGTTGCATGGAGAGAAATGGGTATGTTGGTGTGTCCATGGAGGAGAATTAGTTGAAGCCAGTTGAAGGGGAGGGGTGGGGAGTAGGCAGACGGAGCCCCAGATTCTGGCCTCTCAGGTGAGCCAGTGCAGGGTGTGTGGGTTTGGTTGGTGGGAAGGGTCTCTGGAGGTGCCAATAACTCAAATGTCTGGGAGTGGGAAACGGGATACCTGGGTCCTAGTTGTATGAGACTTGCAAATTAGTAATGAAGAATCATTCAATGGACCACCCCAAATCAGCCAGCAGAAAGGTTCACCAAGTAGGCATCAGAATCACCTCAAGACTTATTAAAATGCAGATTCCTGAGCTCTCACCTGGAGGCCCTGATGAAGTAATTCTTAGATGGGGCTCAGGAATGTGCACTTCTGATGACTAGCCAAGGTGATGTGGATTGTGAAGATCTTTTGCCACAGTCAGGGAAAACCTGTGACAGGGCAGCAAAACCCACCTAGAATGTGTCGTGGCGGGTGATCATGTAGACTGAGCCTACCATCCTGTGCCATAACCCCGCGAGGCTTGGGATCAGGCATAAGGCATGCTGATGGTCCCTTTTTGTGTGGCTTAGAAAATGGCACTGCTGTTTTTTCATTTGTCCAGGGTGGGATAATAATGACCTAGTTTAACAGAATAGGATTATTAACTGAGTGTGAGCCAAGTTATTTTCACATTGCTAGAGAAGGAATTAACAAAACTTGACTCCCTACCCGCCCCCCCTTCAATAATTTAGGCTCTTGACTGGGAGGGGAAATCACTTTTCCAGTCTTCGGTTGGCGTGTCAGATGGGGCAACTTGCTTGACGCTGTACTAGCAACTCCTCTTTGTTGTAAGATATCAAGTAGAACTCAATTATAGGTGGCTGACAACTGATGGGGTAAAACAGGAAGAATAAATGATAATGTTCCCATAATTGAGATTTTACCAGAGAGAGAATGATTCACAGATCTCATTTTTTGTCTTGTCACATTAATCCATTCGTATGCACCAAACCCAACCCCAAATCTCTTGATTCCAACAGAGATGCAGCCGTGTGGGACAAGTACTATTGTTTATGGGCTGTACTCTTTGAAGTCCATCTGTTGTTTGAAGTGAATGTTAATTAAAAAGTTGGCTGAAAGCTGTCCCCTCTGTTTATTTTAATGCCACATCTTGAGTCTATGTAGCAGGTGCTGAAAAACACTTATTAGCAATACCAGATTTGATATATTCCCTGGCTGGATATTAAATATTTAGCTCAATCTGCTTTTTAGGCTAAGGCAGATTGTAAAATAGTTTTGATTTGAGGCATATCTGACTCTTAACTAGATTGAAGATTCTTTATAAGGAAAATGAGATATCACACTTGCCTGACCTTTTCTGAGCTATTACCCACGAGTGTATATACATATGGTCACAGTTTACTTGTGTGTTAAGGTAACCTTTGTAAAGGTAATTTGGTTTATAACCGTGAGGGCAAACCGGACTGTCTAGTAATAACGGACCACTAGCAGTACCTTCATATGATGGATATTATGCAGGGACTAAGGAGCCCTGGTAGCACAGTGGTTAAGAGCTCGGCTACTAACCAAAAGACTGGCGGTTCGAATCCACCAGCCACTCCTTGGAAGCCCTATGGGGCAGCTGTACTCTGTCCTGTAGGGTCGCTATGAGTTGGAATCAACGGCAATGGGTTTTTTTTTTTTTTTTTCTTTTTTGGTTATGCAGGGACTAAAGTGATAATTGTAAAGACTACATATAAAAATGGGGACATGCTTGTGATAAAGGGGAGAAGATGAATACAAAATGACTAACTATGCAAAAATACAGATGGCTATGGAAAGTTTGGAACAGAAAGCAAATGCTGGTTATGTGTTTGGGTATGGTTGTGGATCAGTTAGGATGGTTTTGATGATAAAGAATAGAAAACCCAACTCAAAATGACTGAAACAATAAGGAGATTTATTATTCATATCACAAGAAGTCCATGCAAGGGACAGGCTCTTGCATGGTATAACAGGCCTACAGCTCTGTTTCTCTATTGTCCTCGTGGCTCCTCCATCCTCTAAGTGTGGCTTTTATGTCTTAGACCTGCAGCAAGATAGAGGTCCCTGGGTGGCGCAAATGTTTTATTCTTGTCTACTAACCTAAAGGTTGGTGGTTTGAACCCACCCAGCGACACCACAGAAGAAATGCCTGGCGATCTGATTTCGTAAGGATTACAGCCAAGAAAACCCTGTGGAGCAGTTCTATTCTGTAATCAACCTCCATGGAAGCAGCAGTCAAGAAATCAAATGACGCATTCCATTGGGCAAATCTGCTGCAAAAGATGTCTTTAAAATGTTAAAAATCAAAGATG